AGTGACCGATCCATCCTTCAGATTGTGAGTACGCACAAAAAAAAAAAAGAGAACTCCCTATATATAACAGCATTTCCCACAGAACTCTTTTCTGTGAACACATGCTCGGTATAATTACAAAGTACATATCATGTGAACCCTTAATTCAATTGGCGGTGAGGAGAGACAGATGATAATTCTGAATGTTTACAGCACGAACTATTTTTAGCCTCAAGTAAAGATGGCGATGTTTGTGCAAGCTATTGACAGATATACATTCGGACACACTTTAAAATATTTACATGGAAAGAAGAAGCCGATCTGTAAGACACATTTTGATTACCAGGGCCCGGATTTTGATGACATGTCATCTTTTTTTCCTTGTATCCTATGCAATGCTCTTAAATATATAAATCTCAGATATGAGCTGCCGGTTACAGAAATGTACATTTCATAGGTAATTTTTTGACATTTTTAGGTTTAATGTCATTTTTTCATTTTGGTGGTGATTTTGTTGGTAAATTTTTGGACTTTTAATGGTATTTCTTGTCATTTTTGGCCATTTTAGGGGATTTTTCTTCATATGTTTTCTGAAATGTGAATAACATGGAAGTGAAGTGTTCTTTCTTTTCTCCTTTAGGTCATTTTTCTGGATTTTTTCGGTCATTTTTTTGAATATTTTCAGGTCATCAAAATCCGGGGCCTGCATATTACATTTCTGTATCATATTAAGTCATTTTTCTGGATTTTTTCGGTAATTTTATAAATATTTTCAGGTCATCAAAATCCGGGCCCCGATGAATACAGACCGTGACGACATAAGTTGCTGAGTCACGTTGTGCTTACTTAATTAAGCGCCCAGACGTGAGTGACGTGAAGGGGTACAGTTAGGCATAAGGAACAGATTTGCCTGCTGGTATAGGACGTGATGTATTCAGTTGATTGTAACAAATGTTTAGGACGACACATTAGGGTAGATAAATTCCCTGAAGACGAAGGCAGCGAAGCATGACATCCTAGAAGAGAGTACTTTTCAGAGTGCCCGCCTCCAGAACCTGAGATCTCACGTATAGGCCTAACCCGGGCACGAATGGACGCAGGTTCCGGCCCTTACCTCACACCCGTCAGGAACTTGCCGTGGAGGCCCCCAGAGCACGCGACTCTCAAGTTCTTGGACGCATCCAAAATATATCGTTTGCATTTCGTATCTGGCGGACATGACGTCACGATGACCACCGTCCATCCCAAGATCAAGATCCAGCATCTGCAAAAGAAGGAAACAATCACAAGTAGCAGATCTTCAAATTGGGGGTTATTGCCATAATGTTTCTGTAAACACAGAAATCCCCAGCTCTTCTTAAGAAGCTGATAGTCTCTCAGATACTCAATAAATCCCCGAGGTTTTTTGGAAACCTAAATTTCATTAAGCCGGTCACGGCAGCCGAGAGGTTTAAGGCATACACTGTCTTCGCTCGCTCGGAAGCGGGGATCCTGGGTTCGAATCCTACTCAGGGCATGGATGTTTGCCTGCGATTTTCTGTGTTTGTGTACAGGTAGAGGCCTTGCGACGAGCTGATCACCCGCCCAAGGAGTCCCTTCCGTATGTCTAAGATCTAGAAAAACCGAAGTGAACGGAGAAGTTCATGGAGGTAGGCCTAGGCCCACTGGGGCTGTAGTGCCAAGGAAGAAAAAAAAATCATTAACGTGTTCCCAAGTGTCCGCCACTGGTCGCTGTCGTGAGCCAGATGAGTCTATTCCTCACCCTGACACTTTAGTGCACCATTATTCTCCATCTATACAGGGGTTTTCCAATTTGTCTTTTAGTTTCAAGTTTCCGTGTCGAAACCAACCAACTCCATGAAGCTGATTCCTTCTTGGGAATCCGCCAGTCGCTCAGCTACACGAGAATTTCCCAAGATTTCATGGAACCCCAAAGTTCATTACCGTGTTCACAAGAGTCCGAAACTGATCGCTATTCTGTACCCCCACCCTACTTCTTCTTCTCCTTCTGCCAGGTTAATAATTCAGTCATGGCCCATTCCGAAACTAAAGGAATTGTTTGGTGCTAAAACTCTTTTAGCCTTTCGATTAGCGTAATTTACCCTGAACACGTCATCAGATTCTATGAGGATGAGTCTCTGATGGGGTCGCCATCTTCTGGTTGCACGGCCCAACTCCGAGGTGCACTGTAAGTGTGGAGACAGTTATTTCTTGAGTGACACACGCCATTTCTGTGACTTTCAGAACATAAATTTCAAAACAAATAAAACTGAAAATACATCACACCCGAATAATGTACACACGTTTCGTTGCCATGGTTACTACAGAACACGCGAACGTTAGGATCGCTTTGTCGTCACAGGCTGAATGCTTTTTATGCGGAGGAGAGAAACGTGGATCTGAAAGAAATGGGTTGTGAGGATGTGGGCTGAATTTAAGTAGTTCCAGTGGCGGACTTTCGTGAATTCGGCAATGAAACCTCGGGTCCTAAGGAATATAGCATGGAGAATTCGTTACGTACTGAAGAAGGAGTGCTCGTGGCGCCACTAAGTTGCGAAGCTGACCAATACGCGTACTCACGACATGAGCGGCAGTGCTTTCGGGCTGTGTGCGGGAGCTGTTGTTTCTCTAAGAGATTTCACATGATTTCCAAGAGAATTCCTGGAGTAAAAATAAATCTATCCCTGTAATAGACCATGAGGCCCATAGGAGTGTGTGATGTCGAGGCTCCCACATTTTCTAGACTTTCAGCTCACAGATGGCGGTGAGGTTGTCAACCTTAAGCGCCGGTTGCCCTTTACCCCAGGAAGATTCCTGGTACTCATTTCTGTTAGAGGCTGAGTTAACCTCAGGGCCATAGTGCGGCTGGAAGGATTAGGTCAATAGAGAAATTCGGTGACCTCATCGGTACACATTGAATAGAAGTTGAGTGAACCCCAGAGCTGATCTGGAAGCTATGAGCAAAATTCCTTAACAACACTCGAACTCCGACCCATCTGTCTTCCAGCCCGTATGCAATCGCTACAGCGACTCGTACGGTAGTCACTGGCCTTTAAAAGGGCAGCTGGCAACACTTGGATACAGGAACCTCGCAGTGCGCAAGTGACATCTGCTGGCAATGAATGTCTTGCATTGCCATTCAGAAAAATGACAAGTTCTTAAAATAAGTCATCACCACGGAAACAGGTCTGTCGCAGCCCCAAATTCCTCTTCCGCACTCTCCTGAATGGAGCCACACTTGGCAATGAAGATGTTTATACAGCTTCTACCCACCTACTACCTACCTAGGGACCTACGGACCTACCTACCTACCTACTATCTACCTATCTATCTATGGCTGCTTTTTCAGGTTCATCTTTTACACAGTCTGTAGGATCCCTTGGACGGGGGATCAGCCCTTCGCGAGGCCGCTACCTGCACATAGGACAGCACAAACCCAGAATAAAGGCATATAGAAACATCCATGCCTCAAGTGGGATTCGAACCCATGATTCCAGTTTTTGAACAGGCGAAGACAGTTCATTCCTTAGACCGCGTGGACACTGTGATCGGCCTTACAAAAATCCATGGAACAGAATTCTTTCTGAGAAGCTAGTAGTAGCACAGCTAGTCAAGAAATTCTCCCACTGCTATTCAGAACCCGAAGGTGCATTACCTTGTGAGAGAGGGCCCCGCCACTGAACCCTATCCCGAACAGAAGGAACGGGGAACAGACCCAGGAGTTGCGACCGATAGCAGCAACGTCTGATACACAACGACAGGCACACCGCACACAGCAACTACATAGTGCCAGCATCGAGGTGACAGTAGAGGCAAAGCTGTCCCTGTAACAGGGGTTATGAGACGTCAAGGCTCCCACGTTTTACAGAAAATCCGCCCACAGATGGCGGTGATGTCGGCCTAAAGCGTCGGCCGCCCTTTACCCCCAAAGAATATTCCTGGTACTGATTTCTGTTAGAGGCTGAGTCGACCCCAGGGCCACAGTGGGGCTGGGAGGATTACATCGATCGAAAAATCCAGTGACTTCATCGGGAATCGAATCCGCGACTTTCCGGCTTGTAGCATAGTGTCTCAATCAACTACGCTACCGCCCCCCCCCCAATACATAGATTAGATAGACAGATAGACAGAAACAAGGAAGGAGAACTGACGGCGTGTGCCAGTCAGCCAACAAGCCCACACGGCTGCTTCTCCTACGCGAACAGGTCGACATGGAAGAGACGTACTTCTGTGAGATGCGAACCTCTCCAAAACGGGAAGCGACGTCAGGTCCCGGCCAGGTGCTGAATGGGCATGCGGACATCACTCAAGAATTGCTTGCCCGAGTCCTTGTGCACAGGACACAGCAACACAAGCCAGCAGAGCGTTCCCTCAGCCTTCCGAGAGACTGTCGCTCTGCAGCCCTACTTGTGTCAAGCGCTGTTAAGTAACAGGCCATGGAGGCCCATAGGGATGTGAGACGTCGAGGCCCCCACATTATCTAGACAATCGGCTCATAGATGACTGTGAGGTTGTCAGCCTTACGCGCCGGCCGCCTTTACGCCCAGGAAGATTCCTGGTACTCATGTCTGTTAGAGGCTGAGTCGACCACAGGGTCATAGTGCGCCTGAAAGGATTAGGCCAATTGAAAAAATCCAATAACCTCAGCGGGATTGGATCCCGCGACCTTCCGGCCTGTAGCATAGCGCCTCAACCAACTACGCTACCACGTGCCCCCGAAGCGACATTACCAACAAAATACAAAAAATGGTACCCGACGGAGAGAGTTGGGGCAGAAACTGGGTCAGTGTGGCGTGACGTCACCAAGAAGGAGCAAGCCAGCAACAGGTGCACGAGGTGACTCACAAGGACGGACGATAACTGCTTCAGTCCGGGGGGGCTCCACGTCGAGGGCAGTTTCTGCACTGCTTACATAACCACTCACTGCTCACGAATGGTGCCGGCCCGTCTGTCAGCTCAGTGATCACCAGGAGACAAATACTGCCCCTACCAGGACTCGAACTCGGACCCAAATGAGTGGGTTCGTCCAGCTTCTTCGTCTGAAGACGGAGGCATCCGGTTCCCGGAGAGTTGTGGCGTTAGGTGCTGGACGGAGCCCAGTAAGTCGGTGATGCCTCCCACAGTTAGACTACTGTCGTAGAGTGGAGCCACGGAGAGGTTTCAGACTGCGTTCTATACAATCCGAAGCTTCACTCGCGTTTACTGTTCGCTCTGCGGCGAGCCCCTGAATAGCAGTAATCAGGTCTGACTTCTGTTCGTGTGGAGGGAGCCATGCGGAAACCGCTCGACATGAAGAAGAGGAGATGGACTGCGCTCGCGGGGTCAGTGTGAGGCGACTGCACCGCCTGCAGGCCTGGGTACAGGGCCAGGATGCATCCAAAAGCGGGCAGGTGTGGCGGGGGCAGCCACGAAATTTGGTTTTACGTTCACACTTAAAGAGGTTTGCGGTTGTTTTTCATGACTTCCTCAGACAATTCAGAATAATTTAAATTTCTGGTGTTAATGTTTAGTATATATATAACTTTGGTAGGAAAGCCAGAAGGAAAGAGACAAATAGGAAGACCAAGACGAAGGTGGGTAGATAATATTAAAATGGATCTCAGAGAGATAGAATTTGGTGGTATGGACTTGATGTTTCTGGCTCAGGATAGGGACCGGTGAAGGGATCTTGTGAACACGGTAATGAATCTTCGGGTTCCATAAAATGCTGGTGAAATTTTTTAGTAGCTAAGCGATTGGCGGGTTCTCAAGAAGGGCTCACCTCCATGGAGTTAGTTAATTTTTGATATATTTCCTTATTTTTCAATTGTTAGCCTAGTCTTCTTATTTCGAGGGGAAAAAATGAAAAACGGCTTATGAGATCACCTTGCTGCTGTGTCCGTACGTCTGTGTACCCGCTTTAATTTGTTAAGCTTCCGAGGTTTATGAGATCAGTTTCTGTCTGTGTATGCCCCCATAATTTTTTTTGGGGGGGGGGGAGGGGTTGTGTGCGGTCCGTGTGGTATCAAAGGAAAATAGGCTGTAAGTTCTTCCCAGAACTTCTTGTGTATATTGTAGCAAAGAGCCAATACGCCACAACATTACAAATTCACTTCGGTGTCTATCTGTATTTGTGCCTCTTCCTCATTCTTGAGGCTTATGGCATCGCCTTGTTGTCTGTGTGTCTATGTGCCCACCGGGTGTGTTCTCTCGTTGCCGGGGAAACACTGTTTCAACAGACCTATTCCCTAGCAACGGCTGTTGACATAGCCATTACTTGGCGAT